AAGCATCCGGGAATCCGGGTTGGGGCCCCCGACCGCGCTCAACTCAGTGTGGCTCGCAGCTGGTGGCAGAGCATGTGAAAGCGGCGGGCGCTATCTCCGCGGAGCTAGAAGCCACTACCCTGCGGATCTGCGCGCGGGCGCTGCGCCTGTTCCTGCCCAGGTGCGTGCGCGTCCTCGGCCAGAGTCGGGTAGATGGAATGGTGGGGCCAGGAGTGGGCGGCGTCCACCCTGTGGACTCAGGATGCAAGAGTCCAGTGGGAGGGAGAGACCTTCATCTCAGTTCTTGAAGTTTGGGCGGGGGCCCGAGGTCATAGAGCAGGCGGGAGTGATCCCCAAGGCCTCTGCGTACCCTGCCCCCAGGTTTGAAAAGTCTTTTCTGGAGTCGGAGGCGGTGAGCGAGCCGCACCTGGGCGCCTACATTAACGCCTTCGAGGAGCTGAGGTAGGTCTCTCTAGCTCTTCCGCAGGAGCACTGCCCAGCGTGGCCAGCAGGAGGCGCGCGAGCTCTGGAACCCTTCCGGGAGGCCGCGAGTGATGGAGAGAGGAGCTGGGACCCGGCGTGGAGGGCGCTCCCGGAGTGTGAATTCCAGCAGGCTCTTAACACCTCCAGGGACCGACGCTCTCCGCCCCGGCTCCTGCCATGCTGACCTCATTCAGCCCAGCCGAGCTGGGGCCTTGAGAGGGATGCGGGAGGGCTTAGTGCTGATCAGTGGCCAAGGAGGCCCACTGCCCTAGTCGCAGGGCTGTTTTTTCTCCCTTCGTCCCAGCCAGACTTCTTCCTTTGGGGGTGCACCCCCTCCTCAGAGAAGCCCTCCCTGACACTCCACCCCGGGCTGTGCTGTGTGGGGTCTGGGCCGCTCTGTTCCCAGCAGGGGAAAGCCCTCCCTGGGGGATGGGCGGATTGCTTCTGTGCCTCCAATTCCACTGTGCCTTGGTGTCCTCCCACTGCAGAAGGCAGACTCTGGGCCACCCGTCGGATCCCAGTCTGTCGCTGGCTAGCTGTACACCTCTTTCCTCATCTAGGGTGGGACCAGGGCATCTGCTCTCTAGAGCTGTGGGAACTCCGCCTTCTTGTGGACACTTGGGATGTGCCAGTCATATGTGTGCTCTACCCACCTAATGCCGTTCTTCCAGAGGGTCTTGAACCCACCTACCAGTGGGGAAGTGGAGGCTCTGGAAATGACCCTTGTCCACTGTTGTAACCAGTGGGTGGTGGAGCCAGGACATGAACCAGGCCTATATCTGTCTGTCTGTCTCTGTCTTGTTGCTGAGGATGGAACCCAGGGCCTCACACTACCAGGCTGCTCCTCAGCACTGAGACCCTGGGGGCTGGCTCATGGCCAGGGAGCATTCTCTGCCCCTTGGTAGGCAGTGACAGAACTTCAGCCTGCCATGCTGTTCCTAGCCTGTGGGGACTGGGTGTAGCCTAACCCTCAGTTTCCTTCAGCAGGAAATGATGAAGTTCAGTGGAGGGTCTCTACCCAGCATGGTTGTGTTGCACTGTCCCATCACCAAGGGATAGGGGATTTTCTCTTCCTGCTTCCCAGCAGGTGTGATCTATTCCCTGGAGTCTGGGGCCCAAGTCCCAGAGCTGCCAGAAGGAAGCTGGTCTATCCCTTCTATGACTGGCTCCTAGGGCTTGCACTATGCAGCTCCAGGGACCATCCTTCACACTATAGTCTAAATGAATGGAGCTTGTACAATGCCCAGCGTCCAGGGGTGTGTGCTGGGTCTTGTTTCCCAGCCACTCCCCCATGGCCATCTCTTCACTTGTCTTGGACCTTCCCAGGACCAGTCTTCTGGCCAGGTTCCCAGGAACTCTAGAGGAGCTGGAGAAGCCGCTAGTGTCTGCTACCTGTAACTTCCAGAAGCACTTGCTCCAGGGCTTGCAGCATGATGTGCAGGTGAATGGTACAGCCCTTTCCTTCCTACTTGCCATAGCCAGTAGGTGTCACCTATTCCATGGAGTCTGGGTCCATGTCCCAGCGTTCATTTGAAACCCCAGGGGCAGTTTCAGGGCCCTGTGTTTGGGGGATGGGCAGGGCCCTGATGAGCTTCCAATTGAGCAGCGATACTTGGGAAACTCGCCCCTTCTGTTGACCTCTAAGAGGTCAGGATAGTGGGTCCAAGGAATCAGGCCTAGACCCTTCACCCTGACCCTCAAGTTGTCCCTAGGCACACCCTAAGCAGGATGGTCACTAAAATTCAAACCCTGCCACTGGAGCTTCTGCCTGGAGGAGGCATTCTGGGAAAGGCCCAGTGACACAATGGGTGGCTAGGAGACGGATGGCACAGGGAATCCAGCAGAAAAGGAGGTCAGGGATGGTGCATTGGGCTCACTCCCATACCTCTCTGTTCCCAGCCACTCTTCGGGGCCCTAAACACCAAGAGCTGGCTGACACAGGACACACTGCATCCCATCATGGATAAGGTGGTGGCCTTTGCCCACCACCTCAAGCATGTAACCCCAACACTGGCAAAGGTACTTGGAGGGGGAGGGCCCTGCAGGGTGCCCAGGGGCTGGGGTTGTTGACCCTGACCCTGTCCATGCCTGCCCAGGAGACTCTGCAGGAGGTGCACCGTTACATTGTCCGGGAGTACCTGGCACAGGCATTGAGGCCCCGTGAGCGGTTTCGGGGCGTGGAGCGTGTGAATGGCTCCCAGAAGATGAATCTGGATGCCCAGGCAATCAGTGACACCTTCCAGGGCCTGGTAGGAGCAGCATTCAGCCATCAGGCCCTCCACTAGCGCCTCCTATTATTTCTATTCTGCACTACAGAGAATCAGGTTGGGATTGGGGGAAGGGGCCTAGCACTCAGCTGGCCTTGGGCAGCAAAAGTTCTCCTCTGCATGCTCTATCAGGAGGGAGGGTGGCTGGGTGTTTGGGATCAGCGGGGCAGCCGAAGGGGACACTTTGCATACATGTGCAGTTACCTGGACTTTAAGGGAAGGAGCAAGGGTTGCAGCCCTATCTGATGGGCAAAGCCTCCTGGAGGCCCCTAGGCACTACAGACACTCCTAGGAGCCCTGGGAGCCCAGGCAGTCCCTGCTCCCCACGCACCCTTTATCTGGGTTGCTGATCCCTCATTCACAATAGTTCCTGGCAGCACTTCCTGGTTGGGGCCTCAGTCTTCCTGTCTGGGCAGAGACGGGAAAACACGTGTGCTGGAGGTAGGCAGGAAGACGAATACTGTGTTGCAGATGCGACTTCAGTGCCCAGCTCTGTGTCCCTTGCAGCTGTGGGAAGGGACATGAGGCAGTCACATGGGGGACTGCTGCCAGGCAGTTGCAGGGCTAGGGTGCACTAAAGGAGAGGCTGCAGGCAGGGGCTACTGGGAGCGGTGGCCCAGCCCACACATGTTTTCCTGTCTGGAAAGGGCTCTGAAGCCACATGGCTTAACCAAGCCATCCCTTGCGTGGCGGAGATCCTGGGTGAGAGTTACAAAGACGACATTGGACGGCACCTGGAGACACTCATCCAGAGCTACCCCGACATCAGGTTCGTAGCCCACCTGCGCCCCAACTAGGTTCCGAACGAGAGCCAGGGAACTTGAAGCTTGACATTTGCTCCTTCTCAAGAGTCTAGGTGGCAGGGCTGGGGATATAGCTCAGTTAGTGGAGTGCCTGCCTTGCACGCACAAAGGCCTGGGTTCAATCCCCAGAAACACACACACACACACACACACACACACACACACACACACA